AAGTTATGCCATTTTACAAACATATATAATGTTTGTAAAATGGCACAGCTTATTAAATATCTGAAAGTACACTCTTAATATCAGTCAGTCAAGCAGTCAAGCATTATAATATGATAATCAAGTATTATTTAATAATAGAAGTTTAGTAATTAGAATTAAAACTTGGTAACCGTGACCTTAGGACTGGTGCTGGTGCTTTTTTTGGTCATTCAGTGTTCCTGTAAAAAAAACGAACAATAATACTGATAAGATATTATTATTATTATACGAATTCTACTAATAGGAACAATATAAAAACGCACTAAGGATTAATGAGCTACTGGATTCATGAATATTAATCAGGTTGTGTGCGTTCATTACATTAAGCGCTTCGTGTTAAAAACTGCAAAGCACAAAGTGAAGAGAAATTGATGCGTAGTGTATTATATCTGTGCAACAGTTATTGAGCCTTTCTTTTAACAGTTTTAAATTTCAGTTACTGTGCACGTTAAAAACTATTTATAGTCTTTTCTACGCCCGTGCTTTGTTTTCACAGACACCCGGGAGCAAGTAACAAAACAACATTAAACTCCGGCAAGAAGATACAGTCCTTTTTGCAAAATCATAGACATGTATTTACAAATCAAGTATAATGGGAACACAGAATGATCTTGGAGAGAGCTTTACCGAGCTGACTGCTGTATGACTGACAGCCACAGCGGAGAAAAGAGTTTGTGTGAACTTTAATGTAAGGAGTTAAATATTGATATGTAGCTCACATTAAGCTATCGTATGGCTTCAGAAGGAACACAGAATAATTCGCACACTCTTAAAAAAAAATTAAAAAAATAATTATCGGATTTGGATCGGTTCTCTCTGCCCGATACCCGATCCGAGAAAAATGGCACTATCGGAGCCGATACCCGATATGAATATCGGATCGGCGCATCCCTAATTGGAATATGCCTAATTTTGATTAGCTTCTACCAAGTGAAAGATGGAGGTTTTGATTGGACATGGAAGGCATTTCTCTTTCCTCTGAAAACTTGATAAAGCTATTTATTTTAACGATATACTGGTTTGGGGTCCGCTGTTTTTTGAATTGTCAAAAAACATAATTTCAGTTTTGCCATCACAGGAATAAATTACATTTTAAAATATATTGCAATCGAAAACATGGATTTTAAATTGTAATACTATTTCAGAATATTACTATTTTTTTTACCTGTATTTTGATTGAATAAATGCAGCCTTACATAAGAGACTTCTTTTGAAAACATGATATACTTCTGAACAATAGTCTACATGTTTACATACATTTTATTATTGATTTTTCCTGCTGCGCAACCCACCAGTTGAAAGAATCGGTGCAGTACAACATGAGATGTGAACTTGCTAATACAAAAAAAAAAAAAAAGACCATCAACACTCTCATCCCTCTCTTTCATCTGGATCCACTCTAACAGTGGAATTTAATTTGAGAAGTATAGCCAAGTGGGGGAACAGAATCATGCATCTGGGGTGTAACCTACAGCTGCACGATTCATTTAACAGGGCGGGGAGAGAGACAGCTCTCGAAAAACCTAGAGTGGCACATTTTATACTCTTCATACCACCCAACCCAACTTCAGCAGGCTGGATGGCTCAATCACCACACCTAATATAACAGCCTACACCCAGCGCAAACTCTGACAATACAACATCCACACTAAACCCTCTCTGTTCCACTCATACAAATTGAATAATGGAAAGTGACAAACGTAAAAAAAAAAAATGTGACCAGTAACAGCACCTAATCCTTACACTTTCATAGGCTGTTTAATTTACAGATAATATTTTCTATCTTATAAAAGAGAAGAAATTTTTTTTTATTTGTAAACTGTTTAATGTGACCAGATTGGATGGATAGGTGAGAAACAGAGAAAGACAGACTCACATTTTATCCAGTTGTTTGTTGACTTCTTCATCATTTTCATAGTCCTTACACAACTGAGTGACCAAGGCTCCATAAGTGAGAGTGAATAATTCTGAATTCTGTTCAAGGGAAAGACAAGACAGTCCAAAATTACCCACCACCATGTTCACAATATTCACCGTGTTTACTGGTTAACCACTGTTAATACTGACAATGAATGCAAATACAAAACAACAACAACAATAATAATAATGCAAAACTTTCTTTGGCATAGATCCAAACATTTTATGAGACAATAATGTAGCCATTTTTATTTCCCTTTTTTTTCTAACAGCAAAATGTAACTAATGTTTTTAATGAAACAAGAATTGGTACATTAGACCATTCTTTTCCTTACAATAATTCCCATTTACCATACAAAAAACTCCAACATGCCAGTGAACCATCTTTATGTACTTGCTAAATAAAACAAAACAAAACAAAAAGAGCAATATATGTTTTAAAATTCTTTTTCTTAGATAAGAAAATGGGAATTTCATAACAACAGGAAACTAGCATGTTTTAGTCTTTTAGTGGGGTCCAAATGTCCGAGATCTCTAGTGAAACGCTTCTATTATGCATTTTGTAAATTAATACACCTGCTTTTTATTTCAACATTTATTATAAGCATAATAATTTGAGCGAAACATTAACATTGAAGATACTTGTGATAGCCCTCTTTTTCTTTAATGACAGAAGCACGTGGTCTGCATGCACTTACAACCTAAAGATCGTGCTCTGCTGCATGATTTCAGGAGATCCAAATAGCACATCATGCTTCAAAAGGAGTACAAAGGGTCACAATTTGCAAAAAAGCAAATAGTGTATCATCATGGGTAATATTCAGGACTGAATGAATGAGGGCACACAGTGGTCTTGAGCGTCCTCTCACGGCACAATATGGGGTTGTCACAGACATGAATTGTTCCATGTCAAATTGTAGCCAAAACGTTATTTCTACTAATGCTTGCACGACACATCTGGATACATTTTCTCTGCTTTCACTACTGTATCGTTTAGTCCGTGTTGAGAGTGTATCAATACTTCATATAACCTACTGCCCAGTGCAATAATACTTGTGCTGAAACAAAATGCATGACACATAATGCTATGAAAGCATGTATTCTAACCAGTGGGACTATATCATTATAATTCCCTCAAACGATTATTTTTAAAAAAAGCATTTAGCATTTCACAAGATTTTTAATTCAAATGCCAGCCACGATTGACCGACTGACTGAAAGTCTCATGTCTGTGCAAAAAATAAAATCACTAAACTAGAGGAATAAGCTAATGCACCTCTAGGTAACATGTATACTACGCTATATTTATTTGTATGCAAATAAACAAACACTGCTCAAATAAACTTGTTTTCCGATTATTATAATAGCATGTTAGCTAGCTGCCCTGCATTTAACGTTAGCTCAGTTCTGCGGAAACACAAGACACACTCACCATCTTCTTGCTGTCCGTGGCTCTGTTCGACTGCCTAGACATGTTGTCTTATATTACAGGTGTGTACAGATCGGTTACAGGTAATATTTTATTAATCTGCTCAGTGCAATGAGAGTCCCGTGATGTTGGTCCTGTCACTATAATGGATTTACTTCCTGAATCGCAGCTGACTCACCGGAAATGTTTTCTTCTTTGGATTGTGGGTATTGTAGTCAAACTGTGGTTCTGACTAGTTTTTAAGGTTTCTCGTGTAACCTAATGGAGTTTACTGAATCATTGACCGTGCGCTTATATAACATTTAATTACCACCCTCCAGTCCACAACATTATAGTAGTATGGAGCTTGGAGTCATTGTAGTATGGCATGTAGTATGGAGAGTCAACTTATCATTTCAAAATTAGGATGCCTTTTTGGCATGTTCCAACCTCAAATTTAGATCAAAGCAAAATATAACATTCTGGAAAGCAACATAGTTGTACTTGTGACTCTATGTGGTCTGTAGAAGGAATAATGGAACAATTTATATTCAGATCAATATTTTTTGTCCATGTCCATTATAGGTAAGAGCATAATAAGCAGAATAATGTACAGTTCGATGGTCAGTGTCGCAAAGTAAACACTGACATGTTGATCAGGAGATTGAATTCTGTGTTCCTGGACATTCTGATGTCTCTTCTCACATGATAAAATAATTTCAACTCAAATTAATTGTTTTTATGTTAATTCATTAATTAATAAATTAATTTTGTCAGTGTCTCTAGGAGTTGGCATCTCAATTGCATTTCAGGTCAAGAAAGTGGACAAGAGAACTGAAGCAGTGCATTCTGAGATGTTCACATGTTAGGGGCCATTCACACAAAACGCTATGAAAAACACGCTTACATAGAAAAATCAATGAAAGCAAAGGGGAATGCAAAAATGCGAGACGCAAAGCGATGGAAAAACCGCAAAGTATGCACTTTAAATGTTGAACTTTTAACCTGTCTGCTGGATGGCAAACTTTTAACTCGAGTGGACAATAGTGTAATGTGAGATGCTGCAAAAGATGCAAGACGTGAAAACAACGATCTAACACGTCTCCCTGATAGCACACATACATCTCAGAGATGTCTATTTGACATCTGCGTTTACTGCAAGATGTATTTTTCAGAGTATTTGCTCATCTGCAATACGTCTATAGGACGTTTCCTATTAGATGTCAAATAGACGTTTATTAGATGTCTTTAAGAGGTTTATGATTTAGAATATATGTAAAACTGACATCTTAAAGACATCTGTCAGATGTTTGTAAAGAGCAGATGCTTTCCAGATCGAGAGATCTTTAACAGACAGCTTGCAGACGTACATGTGCTCTCTGGGCTGTCATATTAACAGAAAAACAATGGAAAACCATGTTTTTAAACATCAAACTTTTTTACTCGAGCAGTGTGTTTTAGGAACACAGTGTGATGTGCAAGACTGCAAAAGATGTGAGACTCGAGTGCAACGGTCAAACACATCCACCATGTTAATAGAAAACAATGGAAAAGCACTTTTTTTTAAAAGTCAAACTTTTTTAACTTGAGTGTTGTATTTTTAGAACACTGTGCAAGATGCTGTAAAATATGCAAGAATGAGCACAAAAAGGGGCCATTAACACAGAACATGTTTTTGCTTTAAAAAACATAAGATGCAGGAAGTGGAATGGGAAAAGGTTAAGATGCTACAAAACGTGCAGGATGAGAGTGCAACGGACGAAAAAAAAGTTGCCGCATTTTTAGAATGTCACGTGCGAGATGTAAGTGCAATGGTCAAACACATGCGTCTAGGGCATGTTAACAGAAAAACAGTGGAAAAGCATGTTTTATAAAGGGTCGAACTTCTTTTTAGTTGAGTGCCACAATTTTAGAACACTGTGTAATGTGTAAAGGTAATTGGTTTTTGTGTTTTTGTCTTGAAACTGCGAGAGGCTGGCAGTGGAATGGAAAAAAATGCAAGGTCTCGATGCACGTTTTTTAAAAGCTGAACTTATTTTTAACTTAAGAGCCATGTTATGCAAGAGATGTTGCAAAAGATGCAGGACGAGAGCACAGCCATCAAACAAGTCCATTTAGAGCATATTTACATAGAAAGTCATTGAAAGCGCAGCAGAGGGGAACGCAAAAATTCAAGATGCTGGGCAATGGGGGGAAAAAAAGTGCTTTTAAAAGTTGAACGTAAGACGCGGGCAGTGAATTGGTCAAACAAAGACCTCAATATGCATTTTTTTTTAAAGTTGAACTTTTAACTTGAGTGCCATGTTTTTAGAACGTTGTGTCATGTGCAAGACAAAAGTTAGGAGACGTGAGTGCAACAGTCAAACACATCTGTCTAGCACATGTTGGCATAGAAAAACAATGAATAAGCATGTTTTTTTTTTCCTAATTTGAACTTCTTTTAACTTGAACATCACGTTATAGAACACCGTTAAGACATGAGCACAAACATGTATTTTTCTGTGAATGTGCGAGACTTCCGATTTATTGTAGGGAAATAACGAGAACAGCAATTTTGGGGGTAGTAACGCATTACAAGTAACATAAGTTACGTAATCAGATTACTTTTTTTAAAAGTAACTAGTAAAGTAACACATTACTTTTTAATTTAGAAGGAAATATCAGTTACTTTGTTTCCCATGTCTTGACTGACAGCTCTTGTGTTGCCATGTTGAGAGTAATCGGAGTAAGTGCAGAGGCATTGTGCGTGCTCTGTGAACATGATGCTTACTGATCTTACATGATGCTGTTTAAATCTAGATTAAAGACACATCTCTTTGGCCAAGCATTCAAATAATGCATCTTATAATCTTGTACTGCAGTTGTATCTGATCAAATGCACATTATTATTCTTTAGTTTGGGTTAAACAAATCAATTTTGCTTGGTTGGAACAGCAGCTACGCTAATTATGTCTCTATTTGTTTCTCAGTTTTTTGCTACGGGATTGACATCCCGTTGTAACTAGGATTTACACAAGCTTCAGTCTGGATCCAGAACACCTGAGAAGAGATGATGCCAACCCCTCAGAGGACCTCAGATGATGCCAACCCTGAAACAACATACAGAACTACCACATTTTGCTACAAGTTTGATTGCATCATATAATAATTGCTGTTAATAGTGTTCATCGTCTGTTTTATTATGTCTTAAATTGATTTTTCCGTACATTTCTGCCATATGTACATTAACTGACAGTCACCACTGATAGGCTACCACTAAATATTGTAGAAACTTAATTTGCTGTAAAGTTGCTTTGCAATGATTTGTATCATGAAACAAATAAACAAATAAACAAATGTACAAATAACTTGACTTACTGTAGTTCTAGACTAAATATGAACATGTATTTACTCATCTCACCTGCACAAAAACAGATTTAGTATTCCTCAAAATGAATAAAAACAGTCAAATCCAAAATCAGAATATTATACAACACTGCAATAATTATATGTTAAATAAGAAAAATTAAATTGATCTATTTAATCCCATTTTACTAAACAATGTCTTTGCTGCTTTCCTTCGACGATCCAGTTCAACCATACTAAGCAAAAATAACACATTCGTGTTTCATTTTTGTTTATTGCTGAATAGTGGTGAACTTTCTTCTCCAGCTTCATACTCTTCATGCAATTTGTTTGAGCTGCGCCCTCTACTTTACAGACATAAATTTACATTTCCTTCAGCCTGAGGATTGTTCATTTCACGTCTGTTGTGAAAGGGCTTTTTACATTTGTAAAAGAAGAACTTTTTTATATTAAGAACAAATTTACAAGCAAGCCCTGCCCAGATTTAAAAAGTAGGCCCTAACTCAAAAGTAACGTAATGCATTACTTTACATTAAAAGTAACTCTAGGGACTCTTAACTTTTAGGGAGTAACGCAATATTGTAATGCATTACTTTTAAAAGTAACTTTCTCAACACTGCAAGTATCCATGCAACCGATCTGTTAAACGCCTACGCTACTTTCATGTGTCACGTGTATCACTCCGCCGTCTTTCTCTAGTTATTGTCTTTCTCACTCTTGTTATTCAAACAAATTGCTAATTTTGTGTCAAAATGAGCAAATAATTGAGAAGATTGGACAACAAACAGGAGTAAAGGAGCTTAGAGGAAGACAAGTAACGTGGTAACATATAAATTTATATTTTAATTGACGCAGTGTTCGTTTTGTTGTTAGGCCAATTTTTTCTATGTTGCTATTGATTTTTAAAAATTTTTTTTTTTTTTAGCATAGCCCATAGATAATAAAGATAATAAATCATATTCGGTAACACTTTATTTCGATAGTCCACTTTAGACATTCTATTAACAGTAAGTAACTTTGCAACTACATAAAGTATTAGTAGACTGTCTGCTTAATATCTTCTAACACTTTCTTTGTCAACATTCTACTAACCCTAAACCTACCCTAACAGTCTACTCTGAGAGTTAGTAGACATGTAGATGCAAATGAATGAGAATTAGTTGACATGTAGTTACAAAGTTATTTATAGTTATTTGAATGTCTAAAGTGGACTATCGAAATAAAGTGTAACCTCATATTCAACTGAAATCAATAATTTATTTGGTAAATAACCGTGGAGTAATGTACAACGGGCTGTTCATAAATATAACAAAATAAATCCCTTTAGGATTCCTGATCACACTGTCGAAGTTTAGCCTATTTTGTTATAATGCTTAGGCCACTTTACACAATCTCTTATATAAGAAACTTTTTTTCTTCACTAGAATTTTGACCAGTCCTTAACACCTTACTCATCATAAATTGAAAACAGCAAATCTAAATCCCACCAGAATTTCCCAAGGGTAGCCATTCCAATATAATTTCTTCTTGATTTAAAACTACAATCCAAACTACTCTATTTGTCCTTACAGATGCGGATCTTTGGCATTTCTATCTTCTTCCACTAGATGGCTGTGCAACAACATGTAAGTTTACAGGTGCTATATGTGGCGTTATCATGAATTCAAGATACAAATACAGATATATTCTTATACAGTATGTTCTTATGAAAATATCTATTCATAACTGTACAATCTACGATAATAAAAACCATATAGACCTCATTAACCTAGTACAAACATTAAAATATCCTTACATGGCTACATCTCTTAAAAAAAGTTAGGGTTTAATTTAGTCCAAAGTCTAGGTTTTAATTCAATGTCTAGATGTAATTTTGGATTTTCATGATAGGTCATTATTGTATCCACTGAGATACTCAGAAGTCCAAATATATTTTAGCTATAAAATTATCTAATATTTGTTTTGTCCTATTAGAATTTATAAATACCACAATTGGTAAGTAAATATATCGTAGGCAACAGCCATTGTACATTTCCACCATCTTAGAATATTATCTCTGAGTGCATTAGAGCTATCATAAATTTGCTTAGCAGTATTCATATCCTGTAGGAAGAATTGTGGGATATTTCCTTAAAAAGATTATTTGCAGAGCTCCAAACATTTAGATTTGGACAACAACACTTAATGTCACGCTGTGCTGAGTCAGTTGATCTCGCTTGAGGAGAACAATTCTGTTTCTGCCTGTTCAATAGCAGCTGTCTCATTTTCTCTCCCGATGTTTTCTTTCTCACGCTGTTCAGACTGGAAATGATGGATAAACTCCTCAGAACAGACTCGGAATAACTTAATGCACTCAGAGCAAATACCAGCGAAACCTCAGAGTAAATACCAGCAAACCCAGCAAAACGATATTAGTAGCGTGTGCGCCCACTCGTGTGATCGTAAGTAGCAGACATCATATCACAATATATAAATATTCTGTAGCTATTTGGCATGTCATTACCGAATACCCAGGGAATTTCGTGCAGGTTTGGAAAAGGCTGGCTTAAACTTAAAGTGGTACATTATTTGTGATTCTTTCTCTTTTTAAATCTTAAGTGACAACATTATGGTATACAAAGTCAAATTCTTAGTCTGTGTGGAATTATTTGTGATTTTTTAAGGCCTGTAGGAATAATTTCTCAGAATAGTGATTAGTCATTCTGCCATAATGTTGCTTGGTCCACCCATCACAGCGTGCATCTACTGTATATGTCAGTGATCTCTGGCTGAACTTCTTGGAATGCTGCTTAGCAAAGAAGCAACATAGAAACAGTACAATCTGGCCGCTGGGAAAGATATTATCCTCATTTCACAGCATATATTCTCACAACAATCTCTAAAACTGCAGCTTTGAAGAAAAGCAGTTGTTACAGGCTAAAGTTTGATCTGGAATAGTTGCGGGGCAGCCAGTGGCAGTCTGAAAATCAATGATGTGCCTGTCAGGTTTGTTTTAAGTTATGTAATACGTGATAATAATTTCAAAATGCAGAAATGCACTTTTAAGCACCAATGGTATTTTTAAAAAATGTATTATTTCATTTTTATACAGCTTACTAAAGAGAAAAAAAGTTCTGTTGCCATTTTGCATGCAAATTTCAGGCATAATATTGTAAGGAAAGGGTTTGAGATTATGTTCGTATCACTCTTGCCACAGATATTTAATCTGCTACAAATGCAAAATATCTTTAAGTCATCTGTTCCACTTTTTGCAAAGATTTAAGTATAAACCCTTGCTTGCGTTGCACAATTTTGTTCTTCTTCACACTATATACATTATAAGAGGACCAAAAGAAAAAAAACACAAAGGCTGCTTCAGAAGGCCTTAATGTACTTTTTACCTTATAACGGGACACTCGATAATGTTAGTTGCTCTGTCCTTACCTATTACATTAGCTACAGTGAGGGTGAGACTGGATCATAGCCCTCTCTCAAGTGTTATCATTTGGCATCCTTCTGGCAGTGTTATAAATCCAGTCTCTTAAGCGCAAAGATCAGCAGAAAACCGAACAGGTTCTCACCCTATGCAGGAGGCTTGTGCCTTGTCAGATTGAATCTATAGTATGCAAAAGTACAAGGTGTAAAATTTTGATTGAATTTATGCTTTTTGGCATGAATGCATCTTGTAATGCTTCCAGAGCTTCACTTCTTAAATTCAAAGCAATATAGGAGAGCAATGTAATCGACTTTATTTATTCAAGCTTTTTTAAAATTATGCTTTTTTTGGTGTTTCTTACGCCACCTGTTTTTAAAGCTGAGATGAGATGAAAATTCACCTTATGTATTTTCAAAAAGGCATGTTTATCTGTGCATGTGTTTTATGTCTTTAATTTTTTTGACATAATAATCAAAATGTCATATCTTGATCTTCTGGGGAAATGACAGACCATTCTGTCTGGTGGACATCTCAAACCATTTAAAGGGTTAGTTCACCCAAACTCATGAATGCTTGGCAGAGACTGACATGGAAGAGAAGAATTGTTGAATAAAGTCCTTGTTTTTGTTTTCTTTGCACACGAAAAGTATTCTCATAGCTTCATAAAATTACGGTTGAACCACTGATATCACGTGGACTGTTTTTACTTGAACATGGTAGCGTTGTTGCTGTCTATGCAGGGTCAGAAAGCTCTCAGATATCATCAAAAATATCTTATTTTGTGTTCTGAAGATGAATGAAGGCTATGGTTTTGGAACGACATGATAGTGAGTAATTAATGACAGAATTTTCATTTTTGGGTGAACTAACCATTTAATCTGCTTAAACTCCACCCCTTTCTTACAATCAACTGCAAGATTGTGTTCAGATCTGCCTCCGTCCAGTCAACAATCAATGAATGAATGAAGTCCTGCCCTACATTCTTTTTCATTGTGTACATCACAATACAGATGAAAAGACTACTTTGGTTTCATGACAACTTTAAAGACGGTAAGTTTTCCAGAAAACGTCTGCAATTGGTTAGTCTCGCCTCAAACTCTTGCCACTGGTTGAGCTAATGTTCCTGTGCCAAGCTGGTTGGGATGCTCCAAGAAACCAAACAATGTTGGATAGCACAATGTTTACACTTCTTAGGGGAACTAATCTTTTTTTATTTGCAGCAAATAAAGCTGAGCTAGACAAAAAATTACACTTCACTTTTAAAGAGATAGTTACTAGAAGAGGACAATTATGTCATCATTTACTCAACCTCATGTCATTCCAAATATCGTATGATATATTCTGCGGAACAGAAAAGAAGATATTTTGAAGAATATCAATATAACAAAAGTTATACAAATTTGTGGATGTAGATTTTTGAGTGAACTATCCCTTTAAACTACATATATCAGAGCTCTTATGCTAGAGTTTCAAAGGGCTCACATAATAACTCTAATCACACAGCAGCATCTTTAATCTTTTGTCCAGGAACTGTGCCTTTCCTGAAAATGAGACCATCTGTTTGGGAGAGGGCTGTGATGTCTGTATTACGCTGGCTGATTTTAGAGTAACAAACAGAGTGCTGAAAAGGGAATATCACACTACAAAATCGCAGCCTCCAGCAGGGGAGGGTTACCGGTGCCATGAGGAAATTAGAAAGCACAGAAGGAGAGAAAGAGTTAAAGAAAGCAGAGGATGGGGTAGGCACCACAGCTGAGGCTCCATGGCAACCAGTGTTTTGAGTAGGAGGACTGAACACCATGCAGACCTTAGTCAGGCTTCCTATCAAAGAGCGCTTGCCAGGGAAAGCTCTGACGGTGAATGAGTAAACCTACACTCTTAAAAATAAAGGTGCTTCACGGTGCCATAGAAGAACCTTTTTGTCTAAATGGTTCCATAAAGAACCTTTAACATCTGAAGAACCTTTCTGTTTCACAAAAGGTTCTTTGTGGCGAAATAAGGTTCTTCAGATTACAAAAGCGCAAGAAAGAGTTGGTTCTTTAAAGAACCTTTGACTGAATGGTTCTTTGTGGAACCAAAAATGGTTCTTCTATGGCATCGCTTGAAGAACCTTTTGAAGCACCTTTATTTTTAAGAGTGTATCTCAAATGCTGTTTGTAGATATATTTTTTTATATTGGGCGGTGTGAAGAGGGCAGAATCAGTACAAAGTAAATGTCATAAGAAGTGATAGAACATACAAGAGAATTATAATATGATGACTGTGCTGGGGAAGCCACTTCGCAACTGTACTTTTTTGTAAGCTACTCATATTTTACAGTTAAACTACAGTCAAGCTACTCTTTTGAAGTAAATTTTTACACTGTATAGGCTATTTGTAAAAACTAATTTTTAGACAATGGTTTTCATAAATTATACAGCATACACTACCATTCAAAAGCGTAAAAACAATAAAGATATTGTGAAATATTATTACAATTTAAAATAACCTTTTTCTATTTTAATATATTTTGAACTGTAGTTTATTCCTGTGATGGTAAAGATGAATTTTCTGCAGGCATTACTCTTTAGTGTCATATGATCCTTCAGAAATCATTCTAATATGATAATTTGCTGCTCAAGATTTCTTAATATTATCCATGTTAAAAACACATGTTCTGCTTAATATTTTTGAGTTTCTGGATACATATATGTTATTTTATTTCATTATTTTCTTCAGGAATCTTTCAGCATTTATTTGAATTATAGAAATCTTTCATTACAGTTTATAAGTCTTTACTGTCACTTTCGATCAATTAAATGCATCCTTATGCAAGTATTAAAGTATAAATAAGTCTTACTGACCCCATATCTTTGAACAGTGGTATATGCATGAATATACTTTTAATGTGAATAAATTACTAAGTGAATAAAATATAACAACAGCTGTTAATATATTTTATTTAAAAGAAACTTGATTTTTGTCAGAATGACAAATGTACATTCATTACAAAATCAATAATCCTACAAAGTGTACACATTGGGGATGTTATACATATTACAAACTTGCCGGTAAATCAAAGTATATATAAGATTCCAAACCATCTGCTGCTTCAGTGCTTTGATCTGATCGTAGGCAGTTCTAAATGGCAGAGGATTACGATGCTGTGCTTCAACTTTCTAATTTAGTTCGTTTCGGACCAGCGCCCAGAGCTGACCGGCTGAAAATTTA